AGGAGAGGGGGGCGCGGGAAGAGACTGAACAAAAACTGTGCACCTATGGATGAGGACAATGGGGGGTGGGGAAAGGGCAGAAGGTGGGGTGGGAACCTGTTGGAGGGGAAAAAAATGAGGAACATTTGTAATAATATGAACAATAAAGATTTATTAAAAAAAATACTATCTGGTAAGGAAAATATAGAAGAGCAAGTTGGGGAAGAAACTAAGATCTCATGATTTTAGTATGTATGGGCTGTGTTTCTCTGTGAAGTATATTTGTGTTGAATGCCATAATTTAGAGTATATTATTTATATGTATTGTGCTGGGCCTCTTTCATTATAGTGGGAAGAAGAAAGACTCTAGTAACAGTGCTGATTTACTACTGTTTACATGAGAACTTCAAAGTCTTTGAACATAAATAATTTAGAAATGGTTACTTTTATTGATGGGGTAAATGACAAATTCAGAATCTTTGCTTCAGTTTATAGAGAAGTGTTAAAGCACTAGGCCTTCATTTCTGAAACCTGGACTTTTTCAGATACTACTCTGACAAAAAATTTGTGCCTCATTTGTCAATTATTTTGCTTCAGTAGGATTATCATATCAAAATTGTATATTCTAAGATACTTATTGAAAATAGTATTTTCAGAGGTACTGTCCTCTTTTAGTCTATCTTAAAGTTTATTAACTCAGTGAATTTTGTATATGGCCTATTCGTTAAATTTCAGTATTCTGTTGGTAATTTCTCTATCATGACTTTTTTGCCTTTTGACTTAAAAGACTTGAGCCTTCCTAAAGAAACCCACTTTCAAAACTTCAGACTTCATGTGTGATGGAACTTAAAAGGAAAACTCTTGGCTGAGCTTGAATGCTGAGACCCAGCTAAGTGGTTTTCTCTGTCTGGAGAAAATTGGAAAAAAGGGAATTATTAAGCCCAGCAAATGTTGTTGTTGATGGAAATGCTGACAAGACTTGTCCTGCTTGGTGCCACTGTTGTGAGAAGTCAATCACTATTAGATGTATTGTAAGAGCTGCTGCTCATGTACAAGTTGTGTCTTATAGATCATGTCACATATAAATAAACCTGTTCAAAAAATGTTAAGTGATTTTCATAAAAAAACACTTATTCTGTTCTCTTTCTCAAGCCAAATTCTTGTTGTTTATGGCTTCCTGTACCCAACAGTTCCTTGATTGTCTCAAAAAGCAAAGCATGTTCTGCGTGGATTAAGCTGCTGAAATGCCTTTCAGGCGTTGTTTATGGGTCTGCACACTTTATTTTTAGAGAGAAAACGAATACTTTAATGTCTTCCATATTCCATAAATCTGTCCCATGCCACAATTCAAAGCTGTGTGTGTTTTTGTTAGAAGGTACTTCTGGTTGTACTTAGGGAAGAAAAGCTGCCTAAGAATGTTAGCGAATATTTGGGTGGTGGCGGCAGACTCCTCGATGGTGGATTTGTACTAGTTGAAAGTGCTGTTGGTGTTTAGCTCAAGAAAGTAGTCACCAAAGGTGCTGTTACAGTTAGTAGCAGTCTAATTGCTCTTTGATTGCTTTGCACCAGTAAGTTTCCTGTTTGGTTCATCCTTTGGGACCAGTCTTTCCTCCCGGCAAGCTTGCTGATTTACTACTTCTAGCTCCACTGCTAAGTAGCATATCGAGTGTGTCTGCTTAGTGGTCTTAATATATGTAGGGAAGTTAGACATTATGAGGCTGTCTACATCTGCCAGCTAAGCAAAAATAATTTGAGTTTCAGATTAGATGAGAATGGGCATGTTCAGGGTGGTATGGTCATAGACTTGAGTTGCAGATTAGAGTTTACTTTTTCTTCTTAACATTTTATTTTGAAAACTTTAAAACATACAAAAAAAGTTGGAAGACTTATATAATGAACAATCATATTTACCCACCACCTAGATTTTATAATTAATATTTTACAACATTTGCTTTATCATATATTTTTCCATCTATTATCTGTCAACCGATCACGTCTTTTTAATGCATTTCAAAGTAAGTGTGAGACATCAGTACACTTTAACTCTAAATACTTCAGCATAACTTTAGCTAGAGTTCAATATTTATTTTATTACTTTATTCTTTTGAGGAAATTTTAAAATACCATGATTGCACAAATCTGAAGTGAGTTTTTGATGAATGTATATACCTGTTTTACCTAAACCCCTTTCAAGAAGTAGACATTACCATACCCTAGAAAATTCTTTCATGCTCCTTGCTACCCAGTCCTCTACTCTTACCTCCATAAAAGCGACCATTCCAACATAGATTAATTGTGTTTATTGTAGAACTTCATATAAATCGAATCATACATTATGTACTCTTAAATACAGGATGGGGAAAACGTAGGTTTGCAGTTGTGAGTATGTGCATATGAACAAGGCTTCTTTCACTCAGCATAATGATTTTGAGATACATCCATATTGTTACATGTTTCAGTAGTTCATTCCTTTTCATTGCTAAATTTTGTATGAATTTAACATGCTTATTAATTCTCCTATTGATGGACACTTGAGATGTTTCAGTTTTTGGCTTTAAAGAATTAATCTACTCTGGCCTGGCCGGTGTGGTTTAATGATTGAACATGGACCTATGAACTAGGAGGTCATAGTTTGATTCCCAGTCAGGGCACATGCCTGGATTGTAGGCTCAATCCCCAGTGCAGGGCATGCAGGAGGCAGCCAATCAATGATTCTTTTCATCATTGATGTTTTTATCTCTCCCTTCCTCTCTGAAATCAATAAAAATATATTTTAATAAAGGAATTAAGCTACTTTGAACACCATTGTATAATACATGTATTATGTCTCTGGAGTAAATGTACCTGAGAGTGGAATTCTGTGTCAGAATTTTATGACAACTCACAAACTTTTTTGCAAACTGGCTGTATCATTTTATGTTCTACTATTAATATAGGAAAGTTTCAATTGCTCTCTTTGCCAACTTTTGTTATCAGTCTTTTTAATTTTAGTCATTCTATTCCGTATGTACTTTTATCTCATGCTTTTATCAGCATACATTTTTTGGTTTAGTGTGGGAAATTAGGAATAAGAGATGGAAGGGACATAAAAACAAGTTGTAATACAAAAGACTTGTATGCATGCATATGAGCATAACCAATGGACACAGACAGGGCTGAGGGAGAGATCAATGGTGGAAAAAGGAGACTTATATAATACTTTAAACAATAAAGAACTAAAAAAGAAAAAGAAAAAAGAAAAGAAAACAAAAAACAAGTTGTAATAGCCCAAATAGTGAGTTTTCTGCCCTAATGTTGCCTGTGGATGGAGCGAAGAGTGAAGAAAACCCAAAGAAAAAAGTAAGACAGATATAGTGATAAGGCAAGTGACAAAAGGAGCCAGAACCGGAGGGATATCAGGATTGAAATTACATCAGGGATTTGGGAAGAAGAATAGTAGTTGGCTTAAAGAGTTAAATTTATTTGATTTTTTTCCAACATAAATACTTTTTTATTGTTTTGATATCTATAGAAGGAAGGGATTAGTATTCATTATTTAAACATTTCACACACTAAATAAAGGTATTAATATATGTAAATAGGAATGTGAGAATCATCCCAGAATCCCATTGCCCACACATATCAATTTATGGTGAAAAGATTTTTTTTTTTTTAATGAATATATGACAGTCATTTATGTATATATGCATGTCATTATATACATATTTGCAGAAATGGGTTTGAGGTATACATATAAATTATAGCCCTTTCATTTGCAACTTAGACACAGTTAATGTCCATATGTATATATAATGTATAATAGCTTATTATATAAATATTATAATTTAACTATTCCTGTGTTTCTGGACATTGGGTTGTTTCTAATATTTTTAAAGCAGCGTGACTGGTGTGGCTCAGTGGTTGAGCATCGACCTATGAACCAGGAGGTCATGGTTCCTGGTTAGGCACATGCCCTGGTTGCAGGCTCCATCTCCAGTGGGGGAAGTACAGGAGGCAGCTGATCAATGATTTTTCTCTCATCATTGATGTTTCTGATCTTTCTCTCCCTCTCCCTTCCTCTCTGAAATCAATACTAGTGGAAGTATATTTTAAAAAAGATAATATTTTAAAAGCTCCCTATTTTTTATGTGTAAAGAAAGCTTTACGCTAGGCAATGGGTGGGCAAGGCTGAAGAAGGTAGAGAATAAAAAATGAGAAGAGTCCTGGCTCTTGTGCTCAGTGGTTAGAGTGTTGGCCTGCACACTGAAGGGTCATAGGTTTGATCCCAGGCTCAGGTGAGGCCTTTTCAGGAGATAACCAATCTATCTGTCTCTCTCATATCAATGTTTCTCTCTCTAGCTCTCCCTTTCACTCTTTTCTAAAAATCATTGGGGAAAAAATCTTTAGGTGAAGATTAATAAAAATAAAAAAAATTAAGAGATATAGTTGTCTTTTAGGAACTCATAATCCAATGAAACTGAGTCAGATGGTAAAGGCTTTCAAATATATATATTTTTCGCAGTGTTCAGTGGTTTGTACAAAAAACTTTTTTAAGTTAGAGTTAATATGACACTTGCTGTTCAGTTCTTTGTTGGTATACCTGGACAGCAAGATTGCCAAATTTAGACAGAGTTTGGTACTCTAAGAAGTATAATACATGAATTACATTTGGGAATATGGATTTCAAAGGTTGTTTGAGAAAACTCTAGAATTGCATGAGGACTTTATGGGGGTTCATTGAAAGAAAAACAATAATTATAGAGGGCATGTCTGTCTAATGTTTACATGTAATTCCCTAATAAGATTTGAAGATCCAGGTTATGAAACAGTACCATAGAATAGCTTCCTGACCTTTTACTTGTATATATATGTAAACAAGATGGGTTTCTGATTAGTTATGTTTATAAAGTCAGAACCAAATCAGTTCAAATATTAATACTTGGTAACTTTGTCACCAGAAGACTTAAATCTTTTAACTTTATTAAATGAGTGAATAGTTGGTTTTCTCCTGTCCTCTCTCCTTATCTCTCTCTCTCTTTAAAAAAAAATATGGAACATTCATGAGCCTGCATGTCATCCTTCTGCAGGGGCCATGCTAATCTTCTCTGCATCATTCCAGTATTTAGTATATGTGCTGCTAAAGTGAGCACTCTACTTATCTCTTATGGTCACCCTTGTTTTTATGAGAGCCCATCATCTCTGCTTTCAAAATTATTCTAAAATATGCTTTCTTGTAGGAAAACTCTTACTAATTTTTCTTACAGAAGGGATAGCAATTAAAGAGGTAAAGGAAGAGGTGGTATAGAATGTAATATAAAAAACAGTGAGATATGTCTAGAAGTTTGTGCACTTTTTGTCTTACTACTGTCTGATTTTATCTGGTTTAAATTGTGATCTTCAACTCTGGGGATCTTGTTTCTTGACCAGAATAAAAAATAAGTCAGTCTACCCATTTGTGAAAGAGGAATCTTAGGAAGAAAGAGCAGATGGTTGGAGCCCTTATGCTTCTTCCCCAGCTGTGAAGGATACAGTTTTCAAATGTTATTTCCATTGTGTTTAATACTGCTCAAGGGCCTGTTTCCAGCACCTTTTTTATTTGGCCATGTGTTTTTCCCAACTCACGGTGTGAAAGGGGACTCTGGTCAAAACTTTGATTATAGAAATTAACCAGGCATTGTGACTAGCAAGATTAAAAACCTTCTCAGACAGATTTTATTAGGTTTTTTAAAAAATTCAGATACTCTCATTTGAAATAACTTTATGAATTAAAATTAGGCTGTTCTATTTCATGGCTGATGGAAAGACAGGACTTAGAAGTGTTGTCATTTTATATGATATACTAGAGGCCTGGTGCACAAATTTGTGCACAGTGGGATCCCTTGGCTTGGCCGGTGATCATGTCTGATCAGGGCCGATCAGGGCCGGCTGGGGGAGGGCCTGCGGGAGGTTGGCTGGCTGCGGGAGGTTGGCTGTGGGAGCGCATTGACTACCAGGGGGCAGCTCCTGCATTGAGCATCTGCCCCTTGGTGGTCAGTGCGCATTATAGTGACTAGTCAAACAGTTGTTCGGTTGCTTAGGCTTTTACATAAAGAGGGAATATGCAAATTGACTATCACTCCACCACAAAATGGTGGTGCCCATAGCCACAAGATGGTGGTGCCCAGCCCTCTCAGCCCCGCCAGAGTCCCCCAGTCCTGGGGGGTCAGCCGCTGAGAGCTGGCAGCAGAAAGACCTGGCAGAATGCTTGCTTTGTTGCTGCGGTGACGAGGCAAGTATTCCACCCTGGCCGCAGAGGGCCTCTGGGCAGAGGGCATGGAACAGCAGGGGGATGATGGGGAGGCCGGGCATGGAATGCTTGCATCGGCACCCTGGCAATGAGGCAAGTGTTCTGTGCCTGGCCACAGATGGGCCTCTGGCTGGGGAGGGTAATTGGGGGCCATGAGGCTGGCACGGGAGGGCATTTGGAAGTGATCAGGCCAGCGGGGAGGACAATTGGGGGTGAGCAGGTTGGCAGGCAGAGTGGTTAGGGGTGATCGGGCAGGCAGACAGGAGTGGTTAGGAGCCAGTGGGTCCTGGATTGCAAGAGGGATGTCTGACTTCCAGCTTAGGCCCAATCTCACAGGGACATCCCCTGGCATTCAGACATCGACCGAGTGGTCCCAGATTGGAGAGGGTGCAGGCCAGGCTGACGGACACCCCTCCCTTCCATGCATGAATATTGTACAATGGGCTACTGATACCTATCTATCTATCTATCTATCTATCTATCTATCTATCTATCGCCTGTTGACAGCAAAAGCATTTCAGTTATTAATTTGCTTTAAACAAATTAAGGCCACAGTATTGTTGTGAGTGCTGTCTTCTAAGAAATCCATGAACAGGTGTTCAGAGAAACCCCTATCTAACCAAACTACATTGCCATCTCCTTTTTCTGAGCACTGATGCACAGAGCTATGTTTTTGTTTTTTTTTTAATCCTCACCTGAGGATACTTTTTTCATTGGTTTTCAGAGAAAGAATGGAAGGGAGGGAAGGGAAAAGTATATGTGTGTGCGTGCGTGCGTGCGTGTGTGCGTGCGTGCGTGTGTGAGAGAGAGAGAGAGAGAGAGAGAGAGAGAGAGAGAGAGAGAGACATCGATGTGAGAGAATCACATTGACTGGTTGCTACTGGCTATCTCTCACATGTGCCTTGGTCAGGGTTGGGGAGCAAATCCACAACTCAGGTACATGCCCTGGACCAGGAATTGAACCTGTGACCTTTTTGTGCCTAGGCTGATGCTCTAACTACAGAGCAACGCAGCCAGAGCATAGAGCTAATTTTTAATTATCCAAACTTATGTGGCTAACTTTTTATATATTTGGTTAAAAGTATAGATTTGCCTTAAGCACCAGCCTTCTGTGTTTGACAGATACTTTCATTTGCCACTCAATAGATTATTCTATGTGTATACACATATTGGAATTTCTTGTCAAGAGATTCATTCACTAAACCCCACTTGAAAGCCTATATTATCAGTTTTTATGCTTGTAAGTCACAGACTTATAAGACAAGCTCTTGCCTTTAGGAGCCTTAGAACCTGAAGAGCACGACAGACTAATCGGTGATTATAGTGTGACACTGTGGTGGAGGTGTGCACGTAGGGCTTTGTGTGTGCAAAGAGGCATCTGCGTCACACCGACATAAATTTTGAGGTGAATATGGGTTTGGTAAATGAGTGAAGATGAAATCATCTTCTAGGCAAAGAGGCTACTGTTTCAGGGATTGAAGATTTGTATTGAAAGAAGTACAACTAGTTCATTGAAGCCTCAGTGAAGGATATATTTGTGGAAATTCATTGAGAGATAAGAGCTAAGAGGTATGCTGTACCTAATTCATGATGGGTTTTATATAAGAAACGAAAGGAATTAGCATGTTACTCTTAAAGCTAATGTTGAAGGTTTTAAGAAAGGCTCAACTGCTCAGTGTTGTGTGTATCAAGAGTCATGGGTGCAGCCTTTCCCTGATAGCAATCAGGCAATCAGTTAAGGGACAGCCTGCCTGGAGGCAGGGAGCCCTCACTGAAGATAACAAACTTGAGGTTAAAAGCCATGACTTTTCCTTTCTTTCTCCCCACTTCCCCCCCATAATTGGCATGGTCTAAGAGAGTGGTAGGATAAAAGGGGAAGGGAATAAGGATGAAATTTGGAAAGGAATATTAATAACAATAATTTGAGTGATTCTTATTTATCAGATACTGTTCTAATAAATGCTTTACATGAATTATCTTATCATTGTTTATATCAAATTGAGGTAGTAGTATATTATTCCTATTTTACAAATAAGGAAATAAGTTTAAAAAATGTAATGTGCCCAAGGTCACATAGGCAGTGATGGGCAGGGCTAGGATTTGAACCTAGGAAGACATACTCCAGAACACATGATTTTTATTTATCTTTTTGAAAGAATTTCAGACCTAAAGAAAACTTGCAAAAATAGTACAAACAAGTCCATATATACTTTATCCAGATTGCTCAGCTATTAACATTTTACCATATTTGCTTTATTCTCTGTGCATATAATTATACATATTTTCCCCCCAAATGGTTTTAGAGTTATTTAGACATAATACCCCCTTTAAAAAAATGCACTCTCTTATATAATCACACTAGAGGCCCAGGGCACAACATTCATGCACTGGACGGGCGGGGGTGGGAGGGTGGGAGGAGAATGGGGAGTCCCTCAGCCTGGCCTGTGCCCTCTCGCAGTTCAAAACCTCTCGGGGGATCAGTTCATTTACAACTTTAGTACCATCAGTGAAGTCCTATGAATTTACTAGTTCTTTAATGTCAGAAATGTCCTTCTCTCATTGAAAATAAACTTTCCCAAACAAACAATCTTGACAGATTACATCTAAATTATTTGTTTACATAAAAAAATAATTTTGGTACTATTTAAGTACTACTTAATCTGGGTTCCATAAACTATAGGTCTTGGAGGTTCAGTAGCTGTCTAAAATTATGTGCAATATTATATGTATTTGCATGTAATTCTGGGTAGAGAGTTCATACCTTTTATTAAGGTTTATAATAGTATATAGCCCAGAATAAGTTTGAGAATTACCCTGTTAGTTTGTTAACTTCTAGAGGCAAGAGATTATATCTTGAGGTATTTCTTTGTGTCTTATGAAATCCTAGTAGCCAGTTAATCAAGTGCAGTTATTTATTATTCACATTGCACACCAATTTGATGTATGCACTTGTACATGTTAGTTCCTAATTTAAGTAGACTACTTTTATGTATGTTTCAGCTATTAGTTTGCTCCAGTTTCTTAATAAGCAACATTGTCTCCTTCTCATTGCCAGCTCTTGCAGGGAGCTAGTGCCTATCCAGCCACCCTGTTTCACTACTGGGCAGTGAAGTCAAATTGTTCACTAGTGGCAGCAGTATTTAATAGGCATTGAAACAGAAATTGGTAATTGTGTTACAAATGTTCAACAAGCCACATTTCATGACTAGCTTTGTAAAAAAAATTGAAAGTGTGAACAGCTGTTGGTGCATTGCATTTGCATTTTTGAAATTTCAAGTGAAAATAAAACATTAGCAGCTGGAGATAGATTCCTGCAGTTGACCTAGTGCCTCAGGGTATGCAATACATTGATGTCTATGGGCTGTCAGGGTCCTGGTGAGAACTGTAGGGAGAGGGAGACTCTAAGAGAGGAAAATAGAATTGTTATTCTTTTAAATTTTTGTTCTTTTTAAAATCTAGATAGTTTTACCAGAATCTAGCAATTCCTGTAGTCACTGAAGGAGCTTTTGACATAGGAATCCTAGTGGTTGGTTGTCCTTAGACTAGGGGTGTCGAACTCAATCAGAGAAGGGGCCAAAATCTAAAATCCAGCCTAAATCGCGGGCCGAATGGTTTACTGAACAGTCATAAACTGTCATTGTGATGGAAACGCAGCAGAGTGCAGTGATGACAGCGCGGTGCGGGCCACATTGCAAGGCCTGGCGGGACGGATTTGGCCCTCGGGCCTTGTGTTTGACACATGTGCCTTAGACCATGCATGCCTTGAAAAATATTAAAGTATTTCTAACATGGATTGCCCATCTTTTTTATTTTGTCTATTCTGAATTGTATGTCTTAATGAGATTTTAATTCAGCCTTTGAATG